AGTCAGAGAAACAGGACTACACTGGAAAACAGGCCAAGCTCCAACATGGTGCAGAAAGCTAAAGTGGTTTAGGAACTGATCGATCAGGCTAAAGTCCTCCCCGATGCTCCACAGACTGAAGCGCAGCAACAGGAACTGATTGGTTCTTGTTTTTCTTCTCTAGGGAACCGCGGCGGCCAACAACATCTCAGCGACGCCCAGCTTCCTGTTCTTCAGGAACCGGGTTCGGGTGGATCAGTATCAGGGAGCAGACGCCGCGGGCCTGGAGGAGAAGATCAAACAGCACACAGAGAACGACCCGGGAAACAGCGAGGACTCCGACATTCCCAAGGGATACGTGAGTTCAAACACTCGCCTCCAGATTGTGCCATGGCCCAGCTGTGCTGGTTGCTGGGAGACCGAGAGAAGCTGGAATCTTTCTGGCTGCTGTTTAAATATGAAACGTTTCACAATGTGAGACCGAAGAGGATTCATTGATTTCATGAATATTTTCTTTGAAGGAAAAGTCTGGTCAGCAATGAATAATCAATTTATTATTTAAACCTAAAACTAGCAGATAAAGGAATGAAGTTCAAACTTAAAGTGCTCTTAACTTGTTTAATAAATTATATCATTACATTATATCTATTGATTATCGATTATGTCTTAAAAAAAGGGGGGGGGTATAAAGAAGTGAGAAATAATTGAATCAGACCTCTCCTTCCTATAAAATAAAGATAAACGATTTCCTCCGATTATAAATAAGATAAAAGTGAATTTTCTCAGTTTAATGAGGTTAATCAGAATATTTAAAATGGTTATTGATTTCAGATTTAATGGAAGATTGATGTTGATTCATTTTACTTTATTTACTTTGATGTTTGAGTCTAGCTTTAGCTTCAGATAAAATGTGAAAATGTAATCTGAGCCTTAAAGGAAAAGTCTAATCAGCAGGAATAATCAATAGTTTGTTATTTATACCTAAAACTAATACGTTTGCAAACATGGATGCCTCCAGTAAAGCACATTCACATGAAAATTACTCTGAATTAAAAACACTGATCATTTATTGAACAGGATGGAATCATTTTATTACTTTTATGTCACTAGTGGCTCATTTTTTTTGGACGGTAGGCTGACAGGAAAGGGAATGAGAGACATGCGGCAAAGGACCACAGGTTGGACTCGAACCCGGGGTCGTTTGTGCTAACCACTGCGCCGCTGAAGCACGCTCCAATGATTTCATACTTAAAGTAGTTTCAGAACTTTGCATTCTGAATGTGAGCAGACTTTTCCTTTAAACAGTCCCAGTTCAACTCAGAGTTTGGATGTTTGGTTTTAAAATCACCCAGAAACCTGAACTCACCTTGATTCTCCTGCTAAAAACTAGCCTGGGTGCCATTCCGAACTTAGTCCCGCCCACAACGTTTGAGGTCGGGAAGTTCGGTCTGGCATTGCTCAATAGTATCGCGAGTATGCTAGCACAATATCTGGCGGGCCAATCAAATTGTCAGGGCGGGCTTTATACGATGATGGACAGATGATCAACAGTAACGTAATCAACCACGTGACCAAAGCGCGCTTGGG